AGGTGAACTTGATTTTGGACCCAGTCAATTTTAATCAGCCCTAAACACTTATATTTTGAAATGTTAAAGTTAAATTATATACATTTGTGGAGGGAAAACTGCAGAAAACCCTAAACTCTTCCAAGCTTAGGGGGTACCCTGCTCCAAGAAAACTTTTACGAAATGCAGATTTACAGAACAGATCCACCAAATGGGTGGGATTGGCACTACCTAAGTGTAGTGGCATAATCTTGGCTCATTGCAACCTCCGCCTCCTGGGTTCAAGCGATTCTAGTGCCTCAGACTCCCAAATAGCTGGGACTACAGGCACATACCACCACACCCAGCTAACTTGTTGCATTTTTAGTAGAGACGGGGTTTCACCATGTTGGCCAGAAGCCAGATAGCCCAAAGAGGTGAAGGCAGAGCTGTGGAAGAACCTGGATTTTGGGTATAGTAACCTCACAAGTGACTTGAACAACTAAGTTGGCTTCTGAAGTCAGTGCAGTCACAGAGGACCTTGGACTCTGAGAGTCATTGGCACACTCATCAAGTCTCTAGTTAGCTTTCTTGGGTTCTCTCTGCTCACTTCTGTCACTTGGTTAGTAAAGACCAGAAAAAGAAAAAACAGTGTTGGGGATCCATTACCTGAATTCCAGAATGATTAAGTCAAGAGCCCTACAAGCTCTCAGAAGCCAATGGAATTACAGTGCACTACCATAACCTTGCAAATGTGCATATGCCTTCTTCTGAGCCACCAGAGTGAAGATTGGACCAATATCCAATCTAGTCAATAATTTATAAAGCCAAAGCAGTCATCCACTTCTTGCAAAGCAGCTTAATATTTGTGGGGATTAGTCATAATCTGAGCTCCTTGCACCAGAGCCATTTGAGCTACAGAATAGCAGTGTCACAGAATAGCCAACAATGCAGAGTTATTTCAGAATGAAAGAAGGAGAAGCACCTGACTGCTCCTTGCTATGTGCAGAGAAGGAGCCCATGCATTTCCAAACCCAGGGGTTGCTTGGTTTCTAGCTTGGTTTCTTTCTGTACCCCACGTTGCCATTGTGTGACCTGCATAAGCCCATCTCCACTTCCTCATCTTATTAGCCAGGAACAACATCTCAAATTCATGTGTGCACACAGTTCAGTGCCAGCACACTAAAGCATGCTCAGTTAATGTGTTAGCTGATGTTATTTTCACCATATGATTATGATCACTCTCTGTTCTACTGATGGGTTTTATAAACCCACCAGCATTGAAAAGAGATGAGTAGATGTGCTAAAATGAGAGTAAAGGCTCAGTTTATCATTGACGTTCATCTCAAAAAAAAAAAGACTAGCCCAATGCTCGCTAGATTATAATCTCACAAATGCCTGGAACATCATGCCAAGCTAACAACATAGTAAAGTTTATTGAATTTTGCAAGTATTTGCTGAGCCCTTTGCCCAGGCTGGATACTGTCTGGGCACCAGAGAGATTTAGAGAGGATTAAGACTTGGGCCAGCAAGAATGTTCAGTCAGCCAAGGGTATTCAGTCACAGGAGCTGGACCTGAAACGAGAGGCAGAATTTCCAGGGTGGAGGAGCTACATCTTGAAAGACACACAGAATTCTCAGAGTACAATCATGGAGAAAGGGCAGACCAGGCTTGGCAAACCGAGGAGCACAAGCACAGAGGACCAAACACACATGGCAGCCTGTCTGGAGAGCTCCAGGGAGATTGGCATGACTGGAGGTACGTGACATTAGGAAATGCAAAACCTGGCTTCTGAGAGGGTGGATGTGCTTCCACTTGCATCTCTGGTCTGGTGAGAGTCATTGGAGGGTTTTTCAGGGGAAGGGAAACTGGGCTGACCTGGTTCCAGCAAGCTCTCTGACAATCATGAGAAGCCCCAGGTCCAGGAAGATGAGTAGGTGTGACCTCCAGGAAATGGGGCACCACTATCAGATTCTATCTGTCCCATGGCTTACTTCTATGAGATTTGAAATCATGTACAATTTGTCAGTCCACGAGCTAGTAATTATGCCCAACAATTACTGATTTATTTGCATTTCTGAGATGTGCAGTGATCCCAAAGATAGAGATGGATTTGCCTTATGTTTAGAAACTTCTAGAAGTTGAAAGGTTCCTAACAACCTTCTCTTTGGAGGTCATAACTCACACTTAGAGTGTGTGATAAGCAGCTTCTTTTCCTAATTAAATAAAATGGAGAAAAGACACAAGCATCAGCTATAAAGCTCCCATTCAGTCAGTCAAGAGACTGAATTTCATCTCTTTTATTTATTTTGTTTTAACTGGGGATTGCATTGGTCTGCACAGTGCTTGCTCCCATCCTGCTCCACTTGATTGAGTGGCTCCAGGCCCCCTCTTGATTGCTGCTGAAATAGAACTGCCCACGCTGTTGGGGTATCTTCCGCCGCTGGTCATTTCCATGTGCCATCTGCAGTTTTTTCTGCCTGATGGACTACTTAGGCACTGGAAGCGTATGTTAATGCTGATGGGGGGTCCTGCTTCTTGACCCATCACTAATATTCTGCAAGTCACATGAAGCTACCAGGGATTCCTGAGCAAAAGCTTAAAACGCTTCAGTTCTCTACAAATAATCTCCATTCATTGCTTTTAGAGTGTGTTGTCATGGAGCGGACAAGTAATCAGAACCTGAGTAATATTTGCATATTGAGGTCTTGAAAACTCCAATGTGGTTATGAAATGTGTTTACAGTTATCAGGGAGCTAGATAGGCAGGCAGAAAGAATTGTCCACTGTAAAATGGAACGTCTCTGCTCATGTCCCAGATAGCCTTCCTCCAAGGACACACTGGAGCTTGGCAACATGAAGCTGTGGATGGCTGGTGAGCTCAGCTCTGTACTCACGAACCAGCCCACAAGAGGGGCACTGAGCTCTCTCTGGTTGGTATAAATCCCATTAGAATGGTAAAGAAATCCTTTTCACAAGTACATAGAATTTGCTTGCTAAGATTTCGTGGGTTTTCTTGACTTTGTTGTTTTTGTTTGAGTTTTAGAGGGTAGGCATGAGTCATCCCTAAAACTGTTCAGGTAGTTAGGTTGTTTTCTTATTCCCATTTTTAAGTATTTATAATTTGTTCTTAAAAATTTGTCCGGAGATCCACACCTCCCCTTGGAAAACCTTGCCTGTACTTTTCTTTTTTTTTTTTTTTTTTTTGTTTAAAAGCTATTTTTATTAGCTAGAAGAACTATGGCAGTAGTAAGAATGAGAAAATAAGCCCTGCTTGTTTGCATGTGAAACATCACCTTATATTTTAGCTTAAATTGTACTAAAAGGAGCCCAAACTTTTTAAAAAAATACTACTGATGTTGCCTCAACTTTGCATAAAATATCTTACTAGGATGTTAGCATTTAGGTGTGTTTTGATTGATTGTTGGATATTGATTTAAACAAATTCTTCTTCAACATTTACCCTGGACCACTGTCCTGGAATTTACTATTATTATCTGCAGAGGCTTAACATATGAACGTCAACAACAATGACACTACCTTCGACATGGGTGAGCCAAGAGGAGGGATAGTACTTTTCTGGGGCTTTGAGTTAATTGTACTTTTCTTAATGGCCCATTTTAAGTTTCTACGTTTCAAAACTTGCTTGTCATGTAACTTGCTGATGACTAAACACATGCACACATCCATACCAATGCAAATGACATGTGGACTTGGGAACAAGGCTAGACTGGGTTTGCATCCTGCTCTGCTGCTAATGGGCTGTATGATTTTGGGCAACTTAGTTAACCTCTCTGGGCCTTAGTGGCCTCATTTGTAAAATCATAATCCCTTTCTCTTAGATGGCTGTTTAAACAGTGAATGAGACCAAATATGTAAAGAACTTGGGTTAGTGCCTAAAGCACAGCAAATGCTCAATAAATTCATCGGTGGCAATTTTTATTGTTATTTCAAATAATACATCAAAATATCTACTGAACTATTATCCATTGCAAAGACTTGCCCACAATAGGTGTTTAGTAGGTGTTTATTGCAATAAATTGAAGTGATTCCAACTATGTAGCTTAGATTTCGGGTAGGAGTGTTTTCTCCACTGGGATGTTTGCTAGTGGACATAGATGATCGCTCACAGCTCAGGTATTAAAGCAGGAGAGGAGCGGTGCTGCTTCTCATCAAGGCAGGCTTCCACCTGGTCCTTTGGACACCACTGTTGCTAAGCACTTGGTGTGCTCGTCAGGGTGCCAGAGCTGTTAGCAGCTGCCCATTTGCGTTTTCCAGCTTTTGCTGACATGGATATCAAGTGTGAGGTTATTTTAATTGCTTTTGGCTGAAAAAAATGGGTTATGTGTTCAATATGTTCAATTCTTGTGAAATCCCTGTCTTCTAAAGCATGATGGAAAGGGGAGGCTCCACACATACACAAGTCCTAAAATCCTGGGGTCCTAGTGGGGCTGCAGCTCAGCATATGTTGTTATGAGATTTACTCGTGACTGTTTGGTTTTGCACTCACCATTTGGTTTTGCAGATTCCTCAGCGTGTTTATACACACATACCTACAAACCAGTTTAGAGTTGTGTGCTCCATTGAGCGGGGGTGGTCAGTGGGGTGGGGTGGGTGGGATCAGGCTTAGTCAAAGTCATTGCTGATGAATCAGCTATCTGACTTAGCTTTATTCCCATTTTCAACAAGACAGTGATTGTGCAAGTCAGGGGAGTCGTCACATGAGATCCATGGATGGGTATTAAGTGGTCCAGAAAAAACCCAAAAATTAGATGTAAAATGTTGATGGGCTGGAAAGGGGGAGACACCACAAGTGCTTTTTCTGTGGAGAGAAACCATAGCTTGTAACTGGTTCTCAAAGGAGTCTGTGACCCAAGACAAGCTAAGATTACAAAGCTATTTGATTTTGTTTCACCAAACCAGTTGGTGGGTATAAGCACAACACCCAAACCACTCAGCTAGGCAGTCAGGGCAGTTGACAAGATCAGTCGGAACCGTTTTGTGGCCAAGCAGCTGATGGGTTGTTCAATCGGTTGTTGTAGACTCATGTAGACAAAGCCTGCAAGCTTGGGGAAGCCAGGCCCCCCAAGGTCAGCCTCGGGCGACAGCCCCCATCCTGCCAGGCCCTGGGGAGCGAGTCCTTCCTGCCCGGCAGCTCGTTTGCTCATGAGCTGGCCCGAGTCACCTCCTCGTACAGCACCTCAGAGGCAGCGCCCTGGGGCAGCTGGGATCCGAAGGCCTGGAGGCAGGTGCCCGCTCCACTACTGCCTAGCTGCGACGCTGCAGGTAAGTCACTTCCCCCTGAGCCTCGCTTTCCTCATCTGTCAACGGGGCACAGTCCCCTGCTCAGCCTGCCGCCTGCCTCACAGGGTTGTTGGGAGGAACACAGGAGGTGACAGCTCCAAAGGTAAAGCTCAGTCCACCCATGAGGGATTTCTAGTGCTTCCTGGGCCTGCTTGTTCTCTACTTTCTCCCTGGCATTCTTTGGCAAAGGGACAACCTGAGCAAGCAGAGCGCTCCAGGTGCCTCAGCCCCATCTCCAGGGAAATGAGTGGGGGATTGTCCAGGGTGCACTTGCTCTCTCCCTCTGCTATACGCCTTCCAGTACCCTGTTTCCATACCTGCCTGTCTGTCCCTGCGGCCAGACTGGGAACCTGAAGGGGACGGGGGCTGTACTTCTGCACCTCCGAAGCCCTGCACCTGATACCTGCCTCCTTGGCACCTAGTGGGTGCTTGGGAACTGCCTCTCCTGCGAGCCGACTGCTGTGGATTCCACACCCCGCCCAGGACTCCCACACTCTAGAAGCAGGAAGTTGGATGACCCTACTGGAGGACTGGCAGTCTGGGGAGTACAGGCAGAAGGAATCCAAACCAAGCTTGTCCAAGAGGGCTGTGAGTTGGGATCATCCTCTAGATTCTAGAGTCTAGAAAGAATGGCTTGACTTGCCCCCAGAGTCGAATTAGTGGTCATGAGAGCAAGTGAATGGACACCAGCCAGAGGGGCCTTTCCAGAGAATTCCATCTGGTGCATAAAATATCACTGTGCACAGAATGTGTGCTCTATCTGCAAAGAAAACTGGAGACACGAACATTTGCTAAGTGATAGTGATCAGAAGATGGTCATTAAGCTGAAAGGGCCTCCCAGGATTCTGGCCTTGAATGGAAATTCAGCTTTGGTATTTACAGCCTTGTTCTCTTTATCCTGCCTGCCCTGGCCTGGAAGAACAAGCCGTGCTTTCCGTTCAAGGACTATTGATTTCTCTCTCTCTCAGAGTCACAGAGCTCCTCAGCTGTTCACTCGTCAGCTGAAACCAAAAAAATCGTATCCAGCACAAAGCTGCCAGGGAAACAGAATTTAGCACAACAGACATCATCCCCTCAGGATGTCGCTGTTTCCACCCTGGTCTACTCTGCCTTTCCCTGTCCTTAGAAGCCACAAATGAGAGGACCTCAGCTAGCTTGTCTTGAGAATTCTCATCCTTCACCTATTCTCTATCTTCTCAAGCCAGCGTCTTTCAACCAGCAGTGAAGGGGCAGAGCAGACTTGTGGTCCAATACCTTCTCTAAGAAACGTGGAAATTGGCCCCACCTGAGAAACTCTGAGGGTCAGGCCTGGCATTCACTAAATGCTCCCTCAGCACAGCCACCTTGTCAGCCCAGCCTGTGAGTCAGTGCAGGACACAGGATGCAGGCACCACAGGGGAAGAAGAAGGACAAGCTGGAAGGACATTTGTTTCCTTTGCCCAGGATCATTCCCTGCATCTAAACCGAGTTCTTCCCAGACCCGCCAAGACTGAGGAGAAGTCAGAATAGAGTTTGCAGCAGTCACAGGTCATGTGGAAAGACAGAAAACAGAGGGTAAAAAGCATTTCTTATGCAGATCTCTACCATTTGCTTTCAATGGCATTTATTTTGTGAAGCCCCCAACCCCCAGTGACAGCTTCAGACCAGTTCAAACCTAAGGGCAGCACTATTACCATGGGAGAGGTCTCCAGAAGGACAAGGAAAGACCCCTAACATAGAAAATGGTGTGGCAGTTTCCAGTTCCCTGTTGGGGTCCCATGTCTTGACCTGAGGTTTCTGCCAGCACCTGCCCACCTTCCATCCCTTCACCCTACTGGGTGGTCATTAGAACATGATCTGCTTTGATTGGTTTACTTGTGTCCGAAAGAGTAGAGACACATGGTGTTATCCCCATGCCTGGCATAGAGCCTGACCCATGATCAATGTTTGTCAGCTGAGTGACAGAGGAATTTGCTGGACTGTCATGTAAGCAATACCTTCCCGTCAGAGTCTTGGGAAGGTAGGTTCAGGGGCCCCAGAGTTACTGGGGCCTGTATCCCTCTGGTTGCATTCTGGGCAGGGAAAGGCATTGAGCCAAGGCAATGCAAAAGGGCGGGTGTTCAGTGGGTTCCAGCCCAGATCTTGGCATCCACTGGGAGAAGCGTCCCAATTCGCGCTTATTACTCCCGATGGTCCTGCCTCTCTGCAGGCATTCTGAGAAACTGAGTCACAGGCTCTGAGAGTTAGGAGGAACTTAGGAAACAATCAAAGCTTGCCTGTCATTGATTTTAGGAAGCCCTTGTAGTTTCTGAAGGATGACTGAAGGGAATGTTTTTCCTAAGAGCATCCATTCAACCTCCAACTAGGCTTCAGGTAGCAGTGTCTACATTGTCACTATCAATGGGCCATGGGCAGTCAGTGCCCACGGTCTCAGAGGGTTCCACCCATATGGGGCTGGGGGTCCCCAGAGCTCAGGCCTTGAATGTATGGTGGCCCCATGCAGTATACTGTCTTCCTGTCATTCCAAAGGAAGTCAGAAGGGTGAATGAGTTGTTTCTAATTCTGGCTTCCAAAAAGTACGAAAGAAGGTGCTTTTCTTTGTGGAGTAATTAACAAACCTACACTAGTGCTCAACCTTTGGGACAGATAGCTGAGCACCTTCTGCTGTATGGCAGGCTGGCTCTATGTGGGGGCACTCATGGGAAAGGAGACAGGAGTTTCCCAGCATGGAGGGTAGATAATCTCTCCCCTCCTGCCCCTCTTCTATCCTCCCTCTCCTTCTCTTTCCTCCTCTCCCCTCCCCTCCCTTTCCTTCTCCTCCTCTTCCTCTTCTTTCTTCTTTCTTCTCTCTCCCTCTCCCCCTCCCTCCCTCCCTTCCTTCCTTCCTCCACATCCTTTATAAAGCAAGGCTTTGGATCTATCCACTACCATCCCCTAGAAGCTATGTCATTTGAATTCTTGTCCAGGATGCCCAGGATCCTGGGGCAAGGAACTTCAGCCCGAATTCAGCTGAAATCCAGGCACATTTTGTGAGCACTTGCCCTCTGCCTTTCCCCTTTTGCCCACTTAAGTGGTCAAGTTGGTAACGAGATCATTCTTCCCGTGTAGCAGTGACAAAGTAGCACCCAGGTGATTGCGCCCGGGTAAGCAGGGGACATTAGCATGTGGTGGCTGGTGAGAGAAGCTGGTGCAGCACCAGGCACGGGCTCAGTTGTGCCAGTGGGCAGCAGTGGGCTTTGGGCTTTTTCCCCTGTCTCCTGCCCAGCACACAACTCCCAGAGACAGGTGGGGGCTTTACAGCTTCCTGGCATCAGCCTGAAGCTTCCAGAAAGGCAGCCCCAGGACTTCTGAGGTTGCCATCTTTGCTGAGACTGTCTTTGAATGTGGTCCCTTGTCTGGGGGTGGGTCTGGGATGGGGTGTGTCAGAGGAAGAGCCAGGTCTTAGTTGTCTGGGGGTTACCATGAGAAAAGCACACCTGTGCTGGCACAGAACTCAGTGCTACTTGTCAGTGTCACGTAGCACAATAGGACCTAGTGCTACAACAATTGCAGCCCTAGAAAATGTGATGGCCCCTTTCATAACTTTGTTTGTAAAAGGCCACACAGCCTGGGCCGTCCTTCCTAAGAGAGCAGAAAGCGAGTGGCCCAGTCACTAAGCAGCAACTTTCAGGCCGGTTTCCTCCTGATCACTGAAACCATTTGTCATTTCCTGTTTGCTCCATTTTCCAACGATTCTAATTGTCAGTGTCAAAAGGCAAAACTGTTTTCTTGGGGCTTATCTTTGGAGCACATTGATTCAGAACAAAGGATGGGAGCCTCCATCTGCAAAACAAAGGAAGCAGCCTCCTCGGGAGTCCTGGAGAGAACGCTCTGGCTCCTTCTGCCTGGGACAACAGAACCAGGGTAGGAGCAGAATGACTGGTGGTGTCCCAGGATACCACCGTAAGGTGAAGAGCCCATGGAGGGCCCTCGCTTGCTAGTGGCACCTCAGACTTGAAGGTCCTGCAGAGCAGGCAACCGGTACCTGGGCTGGGAGTCAGCAGCCTTGTGCAGCCTTGGCAGTTTCTGTAGTGACACGCTGGCCAGCTTCTCCATTAGACTCTGGGGTTCTCTGGAATGTGTGCTTCCTGGAATGAAGACGCCCCAGCACCCGCTGAAGCCTGCCCTGCCGCGGGGGTCTGGCACACCCCCAGGCTTGGCTTTCTCTTTCGGTCCGGTCCGTCCGTTTGGACTTTACCGCACTTCCCCTGCTGTTTCCTTGATCACACTCTCCAGCCTCCATCTGCCCCTGCCCCCTGACCCCTACCTCTGTACAATTGTGTTATTTGATGGAACTAATGCAACAACCAGTGGGGATGGAGTTAGGGACCGTTTAGAACTAGCCAGCCAGGCAGGAATCTGTCCCCAGAAGCAGCAGAAGCACCTGGCCTGCAGTTAGGAGACACTGCACGTCTTAGCCGTGTTACCTTGGGCAAGTCATTTAAGCTGTCTAAGCCTCTGCTGTCACAGCCGTAAGCTGGGGACTGTAGATCTTCTGCCCTGATGTCCTGGGGCTGGTGCAAGGAGAAGAGCCAAAACGAAAGGACTGCCTTCAAAAACGGTCGCCAACCCTGGCCGTCACAAGGCAGATCCGACGGTGTGGCCTTGGCCAGTGGTCATGTGACCCCCGTGCTCCTCAGTGTCCACATGGGGTGTTGCTAGATTACATGAAATAATGAGTGAGACACACTCAGTATAATGACAGCTGGAAAAAGCAGATCCCACCCCACCCCCACCCCCTGCCACCTTGCCAATGCTTCAGCAGGGAGAGGGCAGCTCCATAAGACAGCAGAGAAACACCCCTCACGGCCAACACGGCAGCTCCAGTGGAGGGGGAGGCAGGGACCAGGACAGGAAGCAGGCTAAGGGCGGGATGGAAAAGCAAACCCCAGTCTGGTGGAATCGCTTCTGGTGCAGTCTTCCCGGTGCCATGTGTTTGTCCTCTTTGCCTTGGCAGGAACCAAGGCCAGGAACTGCTGCCAGGACTGAGAGCCGGGCACAGTCCCAAGCACTGGGTCTCTACCCTGCCCCACTCCCGCCACCCCACTGAGCTCAGAGAAGGGTACCCAGAAGCCCTTTGCTGGAAAAGCAGGCACTGCATGGGCAGCCCATGTTGTAGAATCAAGTCCTCTGGCATCTGGGGGGACGCAGACCAGAAAGTGGACTTGGAGCGTGTGCTCCCAGACAGAGCTGCCTTGGTGGTTGAGAAGGGGACAGAGATGGCAGCAGTTGAGTAGAGATGGCTGGGCTCCCCTCACTATGCGGGGTGAGGCTTCAAGCACTGGACTGGGAGTCAGACCTGGGTCCGACACCAATTGGCTGAGGGTCTCAGAGCGAGTCAGGCCTTCTCTGGGCCTGGGGGTCTGATTCCTTCCTGGCTATGTTCTTCCCCTTTGCTCCTCGAGCCGATCCCGGACTAAGTGCTGAAACGGCAGCCTTGAAGCTTGGCTTCCTCCTCCCCCTGCCCACCCAGCCAGCTTTCAGATGGAGACAGGAAGCTCCTCCCAATTGCCCATGCTGCAGCTAGTCAGGAGAAGGGCGGGAGGCTGGCAGTAAGTGTTGGAGACTGTGTCCTGACCATGTGATAATCCGGCCACTAATGCCAGGATCACCGGGAGAAAGCCTCCGTTCTCTTCCCTGTGACAGCCCTGCAGAGGCTGGGCATCCACAGCTACATAGCCCATTGTATGCTGTGTCCCAGACATAGCATCCTTGGCTTGCTCAGCTGTTCTTTGTCTGGGCAGTTTGAAGTCCAGTCCCCACTCTCATTGCTCACCGTCCTGCGAATGCAGCCAGTCTGTCTGGGTCTCCCTGCGACTGGCATGCCCAGACTCCTGTGGGTATGGTCTGACCAAGGCAGAGTTAGCATAGGACTGTCACCTCCCTCCTTCTACATACTCTGCTTCTATTAATGCAGCCTAATGTTACATTTGTTCTTTTGGTGACTGCATCTCACTGCTGACCCATCCTGAGCAGATGGATATTCCAAAATGCCTAATTTTTTTTTCTGTGTGCTCTTGCTATTAAGCTCTGTCTCTCCTGCCCCATTCTATGCTGTTGCAATTGGTGTTTTTAACCCAGGTGCAGAATCTTACTTTATTTATACCTGTGAAATTTTGCTCAAGAGGGTGGGGCATGCATGCGAGTGTGTGTTGGTGTGTTCACTCATGCTTTCTGCTACACCAAAGCCAAGTCCTAGGTCCCCATGCAGCGATCCTAAGGCTAATTATTTATTGGTAACTATAATCTAATTTGTCTTTTTCCTCTTCTGTTTAGCAAGAGAAACAGAGATCAGGTCTTATGGCAATGACCCCTGAACGGCAGAATGCATATATCTCACAACAGATGAGTCAATTTCAAGGTAAGCAGTTAAGGCCAGTGTTCCCAAAGGGGTGGGCAAAGGGCGCATATGTGGAAGTGGGGTGAGAATTCATTTCAGAGTAAGCACTTACTGTCTGTGTTTCTGAAAGCATTGAGAGAGAGGAGATCTGAAAATCAATTAAATAGTTCATCCAACTCTAAGAGCAGGATCTCAATTGAAAGTCTGGTCTAAATGACTCCAAAATCACCGTTTAATTCAAGAGACTTATTTCCTTGAGTCAGGTCCCTTAAAGCAGCTATTTCAATGGGACAGGGACACTCCCCCTAGGATCTGGATTAGAATCACTTGGGGGCTGCCACACCCCCAAGGTTCTGATCCTGCCCTTCTTTCCACACACACATTCCCACGCTGCTGCAGTCAACTTCCATTTCTGATGGGTTCCTGGGCCACCTGTCACATATAGGGAATGGAAAGGGGGTTGGGGAGGCTCTGCTTAAGAAAATTTGTGTCAGGGGCTCCCAGGTAGATAGCAGGGGTCCACACCCTACTATGGTAGCTATAAATGTGATCAACATTTATTGGCCTGGGATACAGCAGTTAGCAAAAAGCCTGACATAGTTCCTCCTTCATGGAGCTTGCAGGCTACCCAGGGAGTCAGGAATTCAGCAACCCTTACGCACCAGTGGGATGAGATGGGACTAAACCAAGGGTAGTCTTGGGAACACTCAGAATTTGTCTGAGGGACAGGAGAGGCTGCTTGCCCCAGACAGGTGGTCAGCATCTTTATCGTAGCCCATGACACCTCTACACCATTGCTCTTCCAGTCTCATGGAAGATGTCTTTGGGCCTGATACCAGTGGTGTCTGTGTCCCACTTGTCCAGGCTGGAGTGCCACATCGGGCATACTCCAGTTGCAGGGACAGCACGGACAAGTTTCAGGAAGGCTGGTGGCCTCCAGGAGATTAACCTTATAAGGCTAGATTGTAACCCAGTTGAAAAACATACACATGCCATGATAATAAAAGTTGCAAGAGAATCATTGGTGTAGATATGAGCATGGACTCTTCTGTGGGTCAGACACACTGGGCTTGTGCCCTGACTGCACTGTCTCCCCTACCTGACCTTAGGTAAACCATGTGATTGCTACATGCCTCACTGTCCACTCCAAAAACGTGCCTGTAGATATTGGCCACAGTAGATATCAGCTAGAGTAGACTCTCATGACAGTGAGGGGAGATGCATTCCCCACCTTAGGCACCTGGGACTCGACCTTCCATCTTCTGCATGGTGTCTCTCCAACCCCAGGCTCTTCAGAACTCAGGGAGTCCAGAATGTCAACTCCTAGATTTCAGTCTTCAGAGAGGAACCCCATTACGGCTCAGTTGAAAAAATGTAATCTCAACCCCAGACCTGGGCTCAGAGGCCACCTAGGCTATGGGGAGAACAGAGGGGAACAAGGCACCATCCGCACTCACTCTTACCACAGTCACTTGCTGTCCCATGTCACATCTATCAGGTAGAGAAGATAAGAGGCTGAGCTAGCCCCCACCACCAGCCCACCCCACCTGGCCCCTTCCTTCCTTCTACAAAATATGTACCATCTGTCAAAGGCTGGGCAGTGCCAGGCCCTGGATACAGAGCACTGAGTGTAAAAGCAGACATGGGCCATGGCCTCCGGGAGCTTCCACTTTTCTTGAAGAGACAAATCAGCTGGCATTTCAGTCCAGTGTCATCTGTTCTTGGTGAGCACAGACCTAGGGAGTTGGGCAGCTTCCCAGAAGAACTGCAGTCCAGGCTGAGGGCAGAGCAATGAGGGGAGTTGTGAGGAATTGGGGAGTAGGGGCTCGGTAGAGAGGCAAGGGCGGGAGGTAAGAAGAAGTCAGTGCTGGGCCAGGAGCTCCCCTCCAGTGGCCGCAGCCCAAGCCGAGGATGCCTTTGGAACTGATCCCCACTTCTCTCTTTTTGTATGTAGCCGTCCAAGAACAAGTCACCTCCAAGTGTAGCCGGACCAAGGCAAGCCCCCCATCTAGCCAGCACATGATGCCACCCAGAACTGGGCTCCTTCAGAACAATCTGAGTCCAGAAATTATCCCACTTACCAGGCACCAGAGCTGCGAGGGCATGGGAGTGATCTCACCAAATCTGGGGAAGCAGCAAGGAATTTTTGCCTCCAGCCCCCATTTTCCCATGCCCTCACACTCGGGCCAGACTCCCCTAGACAGTCTTGGCTCTGTCTGCCAGCATACGCAGAGTCCCAAGGCCACCCCACCAGAAGTGCCCCTGCCTGGGTTCTGTCCCAGCCCCCTGGGCACCCAGTCCTTGAGTCCCCACCAGCTCAGACAGCCTAGTGTGCCAAGAATGCCCACTGTGTTCAACAATTGTGTATGGGTCACAGCGGCAGCAGCTGTGACCACAGCAGTTTCGGGGAAACCACCCCTGAGCCAAGTGGATAATAGCGTTCAGCAGCATTTTGATAGCAACTCCATCTTTGCCAAGGCGCCTGTGACAGTGCCCCTGGTAGCCCCAGCGTTCCCAGCGCAGCAGGCAGTAGTGCCTCCCAATCAGATGGCCTCTGAGAGCAGGTCTGGCCAGAAGGTGAGTGCTGCTCTGGCCAACAACCCCAGCTTCAGCCTGCTGGGCAGCCAGAGACTCAGGCAGAGCCCCGTGCGGGGCCCAGTGCCTGTAGCAAACACCACCAAGTTCCTCCAGCAGGGTATGGCCAGCTTTAGTCCCCTGAGCCCCATACAGGGCATCGAGCCACCAAGCTATGTGGCTGCTGCTGCCACCGCTGCTGCTGCTTCTGCCGTTGCCGCCCGCCAGTTCCCAGGTCCGTTCAACAGAACGGGTACTCTCCTTGAGCTGCCACCTGCTGACTTTTTGCCCCAGTCCCAACCCCCACTAAATGATCTGATTTCGCCACCTGACTGCAATGAGGTAGATTTCATTGACGCTCTCTTGAAAGGCTCCAGTGTGAGCACAGATGAAGACTGGGTGTGCAATTTGAGGCTGATTGATGACATTTTGGAACAGCATGCTGCTGCACAGATGCCACAGCCCAGAATGCTAGACAAGTCACCCAAGACGCTGGGGCCCTTTAAAGCTGAGCAAGATGCCCATCGACACCCCCGTGTTGACATCTCTCTGGGGAGTGGTGTCGATCCATTCCTGCAGTTGTCCCCCGTTACGGTTTGAGTGGTATTGTCAGCCCATGCTTATCCTTCTCTACCTGTGACGAAATGGAAAGCTGGTGATTTTTCAAGCTATGTGTACATATTTGAAAATTTTGTAAATGGTTTTCCTAAACATTAATGACAGAAGTATTTATACTTCGTTTGTGACTTTGTAAATAAAGCGGCGGCTTTTGTTTCAGTAGAGTTGTGTTTACTATGCATTGTTTTGTGTTTATTATACATTGTTACAAATATGCAGACTGTGTTGTTTGCTCCAGTGATACCTTGTTAAGCTAGGTGGCTGAGTTGCTTATGGTTTTGATGCAATGAGCAATGTGGATGTGACCAAGAGTTGTTGTGCAAGTTGACAAATGCCAAATAGAAAACCACTTGGCCATTTATTTCTATGTTCACTAAAAACCCTATTGCCTTGTGTGATTCTTAATCTCTCTTGCAAACCTTTCAGTCTCCGCTAGCTCTTTCCTAATGAGCATTTACAGCAGAAGCCGTTTTATCGTTAAGTGCCCCACAGAGACACTTTACCAGGAGGCTGAGAGAGTTCTCCAGATCTGGGAGAGGCGCAGAGAGAGCGTGTGAGCCAAGCACTGTCTTAGCAATTCACCTTGAGGAGCTAGAGTATCCTCCTCCCTTTACCATTCAGACCGAAAGAAAAAGACCAGCTTGTGTTCACCCTCGCGGGGTGAAGGCGAGTTGTTCCTGGTTTAAAGCCTTTCAGTATTTGTTTTGATGTAAGGCTCTGTGGTTTGGGGGGGGGAACATCTGTAAACATTAATAGTTGATTTGGGGTTTGTCTTTGATGGTTTCTATCTGCAATTATCGTCATGTATATTTAAGTGTTTGTTATAGAAAACCCACATCCACTGTCCTATAAACTTTTCTCAGTGTCCAGACTTTGTGTAATCACATTTTAATTGCCACCTCGTATTTCGCTCTACATTTGAAATCTGGCGTCTGTTTCGAGCCAGTGTGTTTTTTCTTCATTCTGTAATAAACAGCCAGGAGACAAATGCCTCTATGTTTTTATTTTTCAAGAGACTATTCAGTACCTGCAAACCCAAGTCAGGAAGCCTGCTAGTGGCTTCAGTTCTTTCAGAGGCTGCTCGATGCCTTGTGTGTCAGAAAGATCCAGTAGTTTTGCATCACGGCATAGAAGCCTGTTATTTGGGGCTTAGCCCCTCATTTTACAGAGGATGAAACAGAGGGGATGGGAGCCCACAAAGACAACTGCACTGGGAGCAGGGGCAGGGAGACGTGCCCTGAGGGTCTAGACTCTCCGTGCCACTGCCCTGTCTCCCTTGCTGAAGACCACACATGCCCTTCTTTGACCAGACCCTGACACCTCATAGGCAGGGACATGGTAGGCAGGTACCCAGGTTTCACGGATGGAGCACACCACCACAAAAGTGAGGAGGTAGCTATTGGGATGCACGCCTCCCTCCATGTGCTATAGGAGTGCAGCTGAAGCAATAGTTGGGATCAGATGTAGTCACAATGGAATGCACCATCAGTCACATTTATCCCTCTAACTGGCTGGGAGAGTTGATATGCTCACCCCTAAGGTACCAAATGTTCCAATTTGATCAGTGGCTTTCAGGAGCTGAGAAAGGGATGCATTCTGAGCAGGCCTGTTATGTCCCGCAGAGCCTAAAAATGCTCTAAGAACATCCTCCTGCCAACACTCTCAACAGCTGTGACAAGGGACAATGATTGTCCAATGGGGGTGGAGGCAGACCTCCCCAGTCCAGGAGCCAGAGGTGGGACAGAGCGGTTGTAGAAAGAGTCATCACCCCAAAACTCCAGCTCTTGGCCAGTGCTCACACAAGCCTCTCCTGCTTCCTACTGAGAGAGATATCCTCATAGGTCTGCGTAATGTCCTTCCTACGAAGGAGCCTTCATTCCTTGTCACCGACTTTGTCTCTGTTCTCACTGCCCATCTCAGGCAGCACTCCTCAGGAAGCCTCTGCAGGAGCCAGCCTCGCTGCAGCTCCCATTATTGTTCCTCTGCCTCAAGTGTCCCATCCATGTCAGGCCGCAGGCAGGTTGCAGCTTTCCCTCAGGGCCACACCAAGGCACTTGGGCTCAACTATGCTGTCTCCCTTTGTCACTGAGCTCAGGGGCAGTAGGGGTGGGGTGCCAAGAGGCCCACTCACCCTCCTCTGGCTCTGTGTTGGACCCACATGCCCAGCAACTGCTGCTTAGAACCTACCCGCTGGGAAAACGAAGCACTCCCAGAGGGGCCACCTCAGCCTGTCTGAGTGCCTCATGGATCACAGTTGTGCCCGCTCAGCTCTGCCAGCCTTCGGAGTCCCACAGATAAAAAGCATTCAACTTCCTACCCCAACCACACAGGGAACCTCAAGGCGGAGCCAGTGTGGGCTGCAGTGCAGACCAGCTTCCCAGATGCATCCTGCCACCTGACCCCAGGTTGGCCTCGCTGCCCCGGCAGTCCTGACCCTACCCTCGTTCCTTCTGGCAGTGTGTGTCCTGCCACCATACTGTCAGCCTCTCTTCTGCCAGGTGCCCCCCGGCAGCTTTCCACATAATCCCCTTATCCCACAGCCTATCCAGCACCAACTTCAGCTCTCTGCCACCCTTCAAAGGAGTGGCAGTGCCCTGCTTCCCCGCCCACTCAGCCCTCACCCAGAGCAATCTGGCTCCAGTCTTGCCTCTTTCCCCCTAAGTACTCTAGTCACAGTTCCAAATTTCTCTTGGTCATAAAGCCAAACACTTCCCAGTCCTCAGCCGGCTTGCCCCTTCAGCAGTACCAGACTCTTTCCTCCCAGAAACCTGTTTCGCCTTGACACCAGGAGCCCACACTCTGCTGGAATCCTTCTTCCCTTCCGGCCTGCAGCCTGGCCCTCTCTCCCAACCAGAGGTCCATTCTCTCTGGCTTCTCTCCAAGATGTTGCTCCTTCCATTACTTCCTCCCACTCAATGAAGACTCCTTCATTCTCTCTCTATCTTCTGATTTTTCCCCCGGGCAAACAAATGGGTTCAACAGCCTGTGGCCCAGCAGCCCAGCACCGCAGCATCTCAGCACCTCACCATCCCAGTGCCCTAGCATCTCAGTACCCCAGCACCCCAGCAACATAGTATTCCAGCACCCCATTGTCCCAGCTTCTCAGCACTCCAGCATCCCAGCACCCCAACACTCCAGCAGCCCAGTGCCCCAGAACCCCAGCAGTCCAGCATCTCAGCACCTCAGCATCCCAACACCCAGCACCCCAGCACTTGAGCATTCCAGCACTACAGCATCTCAACACTCCAGCACCCCAGCACCATAGTGTTCCAGCACCCCACATTGCAGCATCTCAGCACCCCACACTGCAGCATCTCAGCACCTCAGCAACCCAGTACCTTAGCATCTCAGCACCCCAACACCCCAGCAACAAAGTGTTCCAGCACCCCAACACTCCAGCACTTAAACATCCCAACACCCAACCATCCCAACACCCCAGCACTGTAGCATCTCAGCACCCCGACACAGCAGCATCTCAGCACCTCAGCAACCCATTACCCTAGCATCTCAATACTCCAGCACCCCAGCACCATAGTGTTCCAGCACCCCAACACCCCCATATCTTAGCACTCCAGCATCCCAAGATCCCAGCATTCCAACACCCCAGCATTTCAGCATCCCAATACCCCAGCATTTCAGCATCCCAACATCCCAGCATTCGAGCATCCCAACAACCCAGTGCCCTAGTACTTTAGCACCCCAGCATACCAGCATCTCAGTAATCCAGTATCACAAAACCCCAGCAGCTTAGCACCCCATCACCTTAGCATCCCAGCCTCTCAGCACCTCAGCATCTTGACATTTTGGCTGAGTTCAGCGTGGTGTATCTAGTCAGGGTCCTAACTTTCACTTTGTAGGGAAATGCTGCTGGACTGAGTCTCATGATGGGCTGAAGCTCTCTAGGCCCCTTGAAGAAAGAATAACAGAGCCTGGAGCCTGCTGGGTGTCCCCCATGGAAGAGTTCACCTTCATCTGCTTCAACAACAGACTTGTCTGGGGTCCCTCACAGGTCCCTCTTTCTGACTGCAAGGTCTTCCCTGAGAGGAGGACTGTGCTGCAGAAGACACTCAGCTGCCTGTGGCTCCTGAAGAGTGGAAGGTGGAGGCCTGAAGTACTCCCTACAAGAGGTGCAGAAAAAAAAAAAAAAAAAACATGATTGCTAGGTGGGGAGATGCTCCCTCTACAACCCACCCGATAATTCCTCCTCCCTCAGCTCTGAGGCCAACCCCGAGGGAAAGTGCCAGATCCCCAGGGAGGTGTTTGAGACCTCAGGGGCTCCCTCCTCCCTTACAGCAGTCTCGGCCCCCTGGGGGCCTCAAGGCCAAGGTCTATGCATAAGCTACTATCTCTCACTTGTCCTTCAGCCACAAAAGCCAGGGAGGTCTGGCAATGGACATGAGGTTCTGAAGAAGCACATATGACTGGCTTCCTAATGTGTGGTTGTTCAATGCCAGGCTGCGGAAACAGACAGACATGATCCCCAACCTCTCCCAAGGTGAACTGGGAGGGAGGAGTGTTCATTCCTCAGGATTACACCAGAGAAACAAACCAACAGGAGAGATATATGGTTTTAGGGGGTCAAGAGAGAGGAAAAACCTGGCCAGGCAAGTCAAAAATCCATAGGATGGGCTGTCAGGAAAAGCAGCCTGGAACGTCTCAAGCAGGAACTGATGCTGCAGTCCACAAGCAGAATTTCTTCTTCCTCAGGGAAATCTCAGCTTTGTTCTTAAGGCCTTTCAACTGATTGGCCTTATTCTCCAGGATAATCTTCCTTAGTTAAAGTCAACTGATTGTAGCTGTTAATCACAGCTACAAAATCCCTTCACAGCTACACATAGATCAGTGTTTGATTGATGAACAGCCGCTATAGCCTAGCCAAGTTGACACATAAAACTAACCATCACAGTGGCACAAATGATGTAAGCACATCAACAAATAAAACAGTAACAAGTTGTATCAAGGTCTATGGAAAAAACACAAAGGGGGCAGAGAGAAAGAAAGCAAGAGGGAGAGTCCCGGTATGATAGGGCTGGTAGGAAGTTGGGGAGCGGTCCTATTCAGCTAGGGTATTTGGGAAAGGCGTACCTGAAGGAGTGACATTTGCACTTCAATTAAAAGATGCAAAGCAGCAAGCCATGCAAAGAGCTAGGATATTCCAGGCAGAGAGGGAACAGCAAGTGCAAATGTCGGGAGGACTAGAAGGAGGCTGGTGGGTGGGGTCCAGTGAGCAAGAGGAGGGCAGGCCGGAGAGGGGGTGGGGAGGTGGGCAGGCCCAGACCACACAGGGCCCTGGAGACTATCCTGATCCAACAAGGGAAGCTTTGGGCCACTTCAGTGTCCATGTAGTGAATGGACCTCAGAATGAATGAGGGAGGCAGTAAGGAGGGCCTCTACCTCCAGGGTATCTCCCTGTGGGCTGCCCATAGACATCTCCAACTCAGGTCTGAACCAAACTTTTCATGGTTCCCCCAAGTCTGGATATCCTCCAACTCAGTGAAAGGCAGGCATCACACTTTCCCGTCCTGCTCCTGGGTGCCCCAAATCCTCTTGGTCTCCAAGTCCCGAAGCTGGGAGTTACCCTTGATGTTTGTCTTTCCCTCATCCCTTCTGTATTCTGGGAGATGGGGTTTTTCCCCTCAAATGAATCTGTAAAACTTCTGTGATCACAATAAAAATTCTGGTAGTATTATTTTCTGGAACATGAAAAAGTGATTCAAAATTATTCATCTGGAAGATTACAAAACAAGAATAACCAGGAAATTTCCAAAAAGAAAGACGAAAGAGGAGGAGAAAGAAGGAGGAAGAGGAAAAAGAAGGCAGAGGAAAAGGAGGAGGAGGAGGAGAAGAGGAAGAAAAGGAGAATAAGAACCACGAAATGGTTCTAGCACTACCAAATATTAAAACATATCATGAAGCTATTTAAAACAATATGGTTGTGGACACTGAAAAAGACGTAATGAAGTGGAAGGGAAATAAATAGAAGTGCACAT